AATTGGGAACAGAACAGATCCTTGTTTACAGGTGAATGGATACAATCCAATAACAATTCAGTCTGATCCATGCTACTGGTACACACTGCAGTGTTGAAAATCCCCAGATAATTGTGATAGATAACCAAAGCCAGCCAAAACTGGTTAGGTATCATATGACCCTTCTTCATACAGAGTTCTAGAAAATGCAGTCTTGTCTTCAGTGCAGAGTCAGTGGGTGACTGGGCTGGGGCTGAAGTGGGAGTGACAGGAGGGAAGGGTACGAGAAACCTTGGGGTGATGGTTATGTATGTTCATTAGCTTAAGTGTGATGGTGTCACTGGTGCTTCATGTCAAAGCTTACCAACCTGTACACCTTACGTATAGTTCATGTCAGTTATAGCTCAGTAAAACTGTGTTGTGTTGCCTGAAAACATTAACAGCGTATTAGAAAGAGTGGCTTAGGATTTTCCAGCTCTGAGACAAGGGCATGTTTCTGAACTTGAAGGCCATCTGTAAAGTGGAGGGCCTACCTTGTCGTAAGGGATTAGGGTAGTACCCTGCAGTATCCAGAACAATGCCTGCTACGTTAGATACTTAACAAATACAGGCACACCTTGGAGATAATGCGGGTTTGGTTCCAGAACACCTCAGTAAAGTGACTATGGAAATTGCCTTGATGTTGAGGGCTGCTGACTGATCAGGGTGGTGGTTGCTGAAGGTTGGGGTGGCTGTGGAAATTTCTTAAAATAAGACAGCAATGAAGTTTGCCACATGGGTTGACTCTTCCTTTCACGAAAGCTTTCTCGGTAGCATGCAGTGCTGTTTGGAGCATGAAAGGAGTCTTTTTTTTTCTGAGCAGTAGGTCTCAACGGTGGGCTTAAACTAGTCAGTAAACCATGCTGTAAACAAATGCTGTCATCCAGGCTTTGTTGTTCCGTTTATGAGCGCAAGAAGAGTAGATTTAGTATAATTCTTAGGGGCTTTAGGATTTTTGGAATGGTAAATGAGCATCTTGCTTCAACTTAAAGTCACCAGCTGCATTAGCTCCTAAGAAGCAAGTCAGCTTGTCTTTCAAGCTTTGAAGCCGGGCATTGACTTCCCTCTAGCCATGAAAGTCCTAGGTGGCATCTTCTTTCAATATAAGACCATTTTGTCTGTATTGAAAATCTGTTCAGTGTAGCCACCTTCATCAGTGAGCTTGGCTAGATCTTCCAGATAACTTGCTGCAGCTTGTGTATTAGCACCTGCTGCTTCACTTTACACTTTTATGTTATGAAGACTTCTTTCCTTAAATCTCGTAATCCAGCCTCTGTTAATTTCCAAGTTTTCTTATGCAGATTCCTCACCTCTCTCAGCCTTGATAGAATTAAAGAGAGTTAGGTCTTTGCTGTGGATTAGGCTTGGTTTAAGGCTGTAGTCCCCAACCCCCAGGCCATGGACCAGAATGGGTACTGGTCCGAGGCCTGTTAGGAACCAGGCCACACAGCAGGAAGTGAGTGGCAGACGAGTGAGGGAAGCTTTGTCTATATTTACAGCCGCTCCCTGTTGCTCAAGTCCCTGCCTGAGCTCCACCTCCTGTCAGATTAGCAGTTGCGTTAGATTCTCATAGTGCGGACCCTACTGTAAATTGCGCATGCAAGGGATTTAGGTTGAACTCCTTATGAGAATCTAATGCCTGATGGTCTGGGGTGGAGCTGAGGTGTGGGTGCAAACACAGATTATCAGTAGCAGAGAGGTTTGGCTGCACAATAAGTGTAATGTGCTTGAATCATCCTGAAACCACGCCCCCCCACCCATGTCTGTGGAAAAATTGTCTTCCGTGAAACTGGTCCCTGGTGCCAAAAAGGTTGGGAACTGCTGGCTTAAGGGAATGTTGTGGCCGATTTAATCTATCCAGAGCAGTAAAACAACTCCATATCAACAATAAGGCTGTTTTGCTTTCTTAACATTAGTGTGTTCACTGGAGTAGCACTTTTAATTTCCTTCGAGAACTTTTTCTTTGCATTCACAACTTGGCTAACTTTGGTTCAAGAGGCCTACCTTTTGACATGCCTTCCTCACTAAGCTCTATCATTTCTAGCTTTTGATTTAAAGTGAGAGACATATGACTCTTCCTTTCGCTGGAATACTTAGAGGCCACTGAAGGGTTATTGATTGGCTTAATTTCAATATTCTTGTGTCTCAGGGAATAGAGAGGCCTAAGGAGGAGAAGCAAGATGGAGAAAGATGGGGCAACAGCTGGTCAGTGGAGCAGAACACACACAGCATTTATCAAGTTTGCTTTTTTTATGGGCACGATTCGTGGCGCCCCAAAGCAGTTGTAATAGTAACATCAAAAACCAATCATTGTAGATCACCATAACAGATATAATAATAGTGAAAATGTTTGAAATATTGTGAAAATTACCAATTAAGACACAGAGACATGAGGTGAGCACATGCTGTTGGGAAAATGATAGATCTGCTCGAGGCAGAGTTGCCACAAACCTTCCATTTGTGAAATGCAGTGTCTGGGGAGCACAGTGAAGCCAAGCACAGTGAGCCCCACAGGCGCCTGCAGTAGGGAATCGTTTTTATAGTTTTGCGAAAGGACTGGGAGATATTTAATTGGGTTAAAACTGTCTTATGTAAATTGAGTATAAGCCTTGACACATTGACATTCGTCTTTTACAACACAAATGATTTAAAAACGGCATTTCTCTTTTTTCTACCATGCCTAGACAAAGCAACATATTAATAATCATGTTTCTCTAGTCTACTAAAGAATAATAATTTGTTATGTAATAACTTATATAACACTAATTATTGTTATACCTCACATATCTCAGAGTAAGTTACTTGGAGACCATAAAGAAGATAAAATTCTTTTGAGTCGTCAAAATAGAGGCCAAAGACTATGCACTGTAGTTTGTGAACTGGACCTGAAGGGCACAGCTTTGATCCAGGCCTGTTTATTCTTACTCTGGATATTAATACGTTCTTTAAAAGTTGCGTATGTGGTTCCTGTACCCCTAGCCTATTGGGGGAGGGAGAGAGAGTTTCTGGACACATGCATATTGCTAGTAACAAAAGACAGGAGCTGATATACCTAACAGATGGGGAGATGAAAGGGAAGACTCGGAAGTGAGCCTAGAGTCTCAGAAAGGATGGTGGGTTGGTGTGGAGCTGGCAGCGCTGTGTAGCCTCTGGTGATGTAACTGTTAATAAAAGCAAAAAATCATTAAATATTTATTTTATGGCAGGCATTGTGCCAGTTGTTATATATTCATTATTTCATTTAGTACTTAACAGCCATATACACATCATTAGCCTCATAGATGAGGAACCTGTGGCTTAGCAAGGTTGTCACATGGAAGTGCACACAGGGCACGGACCCAGGTTTGTCTGAAACTCAAAATGTGTGCGTTTATCCGTCCTTCTTTGTGCCCTTCCACTTATTAGCACAGCGAAATAATTGACTCTAATTATAATCTTTTTGAATAAAGAAAAGGTTAAAATGTTTAGCTTTTTTAAGTATTTAAAAATAATTTTTATTTTAAATAGTTCAAATTGCAGTTTTTCCACAAAAATATGTTAAGACTTTGTTGTCTAAAAAATTTTGTGAAACATTTTATTTCTTGCAAGGATAAGTGTATTTTGTAAATTTGTTAAATCTATGTAGATTTTTGAATAAGAAACTGAATGTATTAGTTACATTATCTTATCTACTAAAGGAAATGAATCTCGCTAGCTAACCCGTACAGGTGCTGAATTAATTCTTTTTGTTTATATTTTATGCTATTGCAAAGAGAATTAGGACACTTATAAAACATATATGTTAATTTGCAACCAGAGTAGTTGGAGAATAGCTTACCTTGGCTCACTGTGTAGCGAGGACTCAGAGGTAGTCCCGCATATCTGCAGCGTGGGTGCAATGAGGGCGGAGGTGCTGTGTTTGTGCATTAATGCCTTGACAGTGCTTTTGACACTGCCTGCAAATAAAGGTGTTGAAGCATCAGTTGCCCATTTTCAAAAACATGGAATTATAATTGCATGCAGTACATTGAATTTATACTTAGCATAATTTTTGACATTGACTCTTGATTTTATAAACTTTTGCAAAGATTATAGCTATCATTTTGAAACTCAGTATCAAATTTTAGTATTTTACCTATAAAAAATATGAGCTGTCGGGCCGGATACCCTCCCAATGACATCCCTTAAGGGCTCTAACTTTAACTAAATTTGTTCTTATTATTTTAGTTGCCATTTATTGTGGTTTTATATAAGAGTGCAGAATGAGCCAAGTGGGTAAAAGATCGTGTAAACATGCCTGCCTGCCTTTGTTACTTTTTCTTTCCCACTAGGGATTGTTTACTAGAACTTCTGTGTTGTAGTGGTTTTTTTATTAATAAAATCCCGGGAATTAGAGTCAGAACCTTGGCAGGTTGCACAGTGTGCCTCTGTCATATTGGGGCCATCATGTCACCTGCCTCTTGCAGTTGCTGTGATGAGTAAATGGGTTCATACAATATCTGTAAATCACTTAGAATAGTGATTGGCACATAAAGGCTCAATAAATGCTAATTATTATTTTTAGGGTTTTTATGAGGCTTAAATTAAATGAGATTATGCATGTAAAATGTTTAGTAGAGTATCTGGCATTTATTAAGTGTTCAATCAATACTAGTGGCTCTAATTTAAATATTCTGGTGCCTATATATCTAAAGAAGCTGTGTCTTTGGATCTCTGCACATGCGTATCTTTAGTGAATTTATTTTAGGGCATGAGGGAAAAACTATTAGTTTTTATGTTAGCTTTTCCCAGTAGGTACAAGTTACAAAGTTTAAAAAATGTTAAATAAATATGTACTGTAATTATTTTCTGATTTCTAACTTAGGTCATTTGTTATTTCAAGTTTATGTTTATTTTTACTATTAAAAAGTAGAGATCTTGATTAATATCACAATTTAGGGAACTTTGTAAAGGCCTGTCAATATCTAACCTGTTTTCTTCTTTTCTTGTCATCTTCTTTATAGGTCTGTGGAATCTTGCTTCTCTTTTTTCCAACCTCTGTTTATTTGTGTTGATGCCCTTTGCCTTTTTCTTTCTGGAATCAGAAGGTTTTGCTGGCTTGAAAAAGGTGAGTGAATCTAGTTTTGGAGTTAAATTTGTTAAATGAGGAACTAAATGTCATCCATGTTGAACTAGAAAAAGTTGGGTTAAATCATTTGAATGGAATATAAAATGTTCAGTTAATAAGTAATAATATTAACATACAACAAGAACATGTCCATGGGGAGTAGTCATCTTTTAGTACCTGTGCATAATTTTATAGTATGCATAAACTTAGTGGAGTATTCTTTTGTGGAATGGATAAACCTGATGTAATAGCTGTTATTCTTTTCTTAGGATTCTTCTTTTCTATTCTTTCTTAAACTAAACTCATTCAGTTTAAAGCATGGCATGAAATTCTAAAAAT